TCTTCTAAAGCCTCGGTTTTGTGGTCCTGCAGATGGGCGCGTCCGGAGCTACTTCGCGGCGCTTTGGCGAGGATTAACTGGGACTATGCCTGCCAAGCTGCTGGCGCGAGGTAGGCGTGGGGTCGGGTGGACGGCTGCCCGTCTCCCCTCCGTACCCGCGGCCCGCCCGTGTCTGCTGAGCGCATCCTGTTTCCGGAAGTGCCCGTCTGTTTATTCGCTACACCTTGGACAGCGGCACCCCTTTCCCCAGCGTGACAACCGAAAACAAACGAAACGCCCCCGGGCTGGCACGCCCCTCGGGCCGCGCGGTCCGGGCAGAGCCAGGCCTTCTGGCCTTGTCCGGGGGCCCTGGTGTTGGCTCAGCTCGGCCTCCCTGACCCCCTCTCGCGCAGGGAGCCCTGGAGGCGGGGCCTGGCACACCTGCCGTCGCCCGGGACTGTGGCCAGCATGAAGCCCCCGGAGGAGCTGGCCGCCGGCGGGATGCAGACCCTCCGCCCTCAGCGCCGAGGCCGGCTCAGGGCCAGGCCGTCCTATGTGGATGAGACGCTGTTTGGCAGGCCTGCGGGCACCCAGCTTCGCCCACCAGATTTTGACCCACCCTGGGTGGTGAAGGAGAAGGCCGGCCCAGCCAGAGGAGTGGGCGCGGCAGCCCAGGGGAGCTGTGAGACCACCGCGGCCAAGGGGGCTGCCTCCACCCTCACGCCCAAGAAGAAGAATAAATACAGGTGAGGGGCTGGGGAGACGCACCTGTGTTCCTGTTGCAACCCGACCTTGACCTCGCCGCGCTCGGTGCGGAAGACAGGACCAGGGATCCTCCCTGGTAGGACTGGTGAGGGGGACAGATGAGTGGGGGGCACAGGAACCCAACACTGGACAAGGCAGCAGCCATGCCCGGGGGCAGGAGGTGAGGTCCCAAGCCCCCAGTGCAGACGGGGTGCGAGGCCCGGGGGTGGGGTCTCTGGGACAACCGAGATTTGCGATGGACCCACGGAGCCGTGAGCGCGTGGGCGGCCCGGATTTCAGCAGGTGGTTTTGAAAGTGGGTCTTGCTGCGTTTTCGCCGGCAGGTTCAAAAACTGGAAGTTGCTGAGAGGTCGTTGTCTAATTCAGTTCCCGGGATTATTTCTGATCTGAGTCTGGAGGGAGGTGTCTGGTCTTGAGCCACAGTTTTTTTTTTTTTTTATTGTCACCGGGGGTTTGAACAAAAACTCAGCAGGCTGATAGGTTGGTGAGTGCAGACTGCCATAACCAAACGCCACAGCTTTACGCGGTCCAGGCTCGGTCCAGGTTCGGGGCAGGCTGGATCCAGGCTCAGTCCAGGCTCGGTCCAGGTTCGGGGCAGCACAGCTGTGGGGGCTGTGAGTCCAAAGCCGGGGTGCTGGCAGCCTTGCTCAGCCTTGCTTTCTCCCGGGCCTTCGCTCTGGGCTTGCACATCCAAGCGTGATGGCCCTGGCGGGGAGGTGACGGCCACCCCCCTGCTTACTCGCAGGTGGGGTGCAGACACCTTGGGGCCATCAGACACAGGCGTCAAAACCTGGTGGCCAAAGGCCGCCCTCCCAAAGACACGCAGTGCGCGACGGGAGCACTTTCAGTCCTGGCCAGAACTCACCAGGCCTGGCCTGGCGCCCTGTAGCTGGGCTCTATTTGCTGGATTAATGATAATAAAAACTTCATAACTGCCGAAGGATTCTCATTAAAGATGAGAGCCTGCTGAAGCTCAGGCGGTCACGCGGATCCTTGGTTGACTCCGGTCTCTGCCGCGGTCTTGCCGTGGGGCCCGCGTCTCCTGCCCTGTACTACGGGGCCCGTTTGGATGTGCACGTCCTGAGAAATGGTGCGGTAAGGCAGGTGACACGCGAGGCCCGGGCCTGCGGAAGTGCACACTGCACGTTTAAAAAGCTCCTCTGGGGGAGGGGCCCGGCCGGCTTCGTCATGGGCTCAAGCTGCTGCGCGGGGCCGCGGGACGGCAGAGGGGTTAGCGGACAAGGCCTCCAGGAGCAGCAGGAAACCGTAAAGACTACAGTTGGATTGATGGGGACTCTCGGTTGCAAGTGACAGAAAATACTGGCTTGAGCAGCAAAAGGGCATTTGGGGCTCAAACTGCCGCTGGGGCTGTCGGTGCCACCTCCCTCTGCATCTCCCAGGTCCCCGGGACAGGCGAGATGGCCACAGACTGTCAGCTTAGCACAGGGCAACTCTGGGTGGCAGCCTGGGACAGACCTAGGTCATGTGGCCTCCTCTGGACCAATCAGTGTGGCCAGGGGGATGGAATATGCAAATTGGCAGGGCATGGGGGTCAGGATGCAGGGGGCCGGGGCGGTTCTTGGGGAAGCAGCAGGAGCGAGGGGTCCCCAGGAACCTGAGAGGCCTGGGCGTCCCTGTGGGCGCCGGGTTGGGTGGCAGGGGCCCCTCGGGACACAGTGCCGCCCCCTGCCTTTCTCTCCCCTCGGCCAGGCTGCTCAGCCACACCCCGTCTCACTGCGACGAGTCACTCTTTGGCCGGCGATGCGAAGGCAGCAGCTGGGAAGCCCCGTGGACAGTGAAGGGGAACACCGCGAAACTCCACGCGCTCCTCTGGACGCCGCCACCGACCCCCAGGGGCAGCCAGTCACCCCGCCCCAGGGAGACCCCGCTGCGAGCCGTCCACCCGGCTGCTGCCCCGGAGACCAAGCCCAGGGAGGTGGCAGACTCCAGGAGGCGGTCCCTGGGCGGCGAGGGCTCCCCACGCCCCCCGGGGCGGGCACGCTCCCAGTCCCTCACTCTCCTCAGCGTGCCCAGTCCTGGCCCCCCAACTACCCGTGCCCCGCCCACACGTGAGCCCCGGGACCCCAGGCCGCCTGCGTCTGGGGTGACTTTCCGGAGCCCGCTGGTGACGCCCAGGGCTCTCTCCGTCAGTGTTTCAGTGCCAGCGACCCCCCGACGAGGGGCAGAGACCCAGAAACCAAAGCCCCCTTGGAGATGAGGGCCTCTCGTGGCTGGGGTCATCCGGGTAGACCAGCAGCACAGCCTGGGTCACCCACAGGCATGGGAGAAGCCCCCGGGACCGACCAGCCCCGCTTGCCCCTGCTGCTTCACCCCAGCGTGTACTGGGGGCCGTCCTTGGAGAGGCCTCTCCCGCTCTGTGCCAGCCTCACTCAAAACCAGTGCCAGCCCAGGCCCCCGCCTCCTCGCCATCCGCCAGGCGGTCCTGCGGCCCAGTGTGCACACCTGTGTGGGGTGCCCGTTCCCTGTCCGTCCCTCGAGTCGAGCTTCCCGCTGAGGATTCCTTTCCAGCGGTCCGGTGGCCTCCGAGGGCTTCCCGGGCTGTGCGGGGACCCCAGGGAGCGCGGGAGCACCGGGGGGATGCGTGGGTGAACACGTTCCGTTTTAGCAATCATGTATTTATGTTCATGTAGTAAATACATCGGCAGCGCAGCAAAGCCATAGGTGCTTGTAGTTTTTTCTCTCCCCATTAGGCCTTTTTTGGAACTGAATCGATTTAAGTAACGAAGTTACAGAACGCCCACTGCTCGCATGGGGAAGGGGCAAGCTGGGCGGGGCCTGGCTTCTTTATTCCTTCCGTGTTCAGCCAGAGCGGCTGCCTAGTAGGTCAGCTGGTTCCTCCCTGAGCTCAGAATGTAGACCGCACTGAACTGGTTTGTGTGTGTTTTTTAAAGATTTTTTTGTTTGAAAACCAGAGTTACAGAGAGAGTCTTCCGTCCGCTGGTTCACTCCCCAGATGGCCACAACAGCTGGGGCTGAGCCAGGCCAAAGCTAGGAGCCTGGACCTCCATCCGTGTCTCCCAAGTGAGTGGCAGGGGCCCAAATACTTGGGCCATCTTCCGCTGCTTTCCCAGGCGCATTGTTAGGGAGCTGAATTGGAAGTGGAGCAGCCAGGACTCGAACCGGCTCCCACACAGGAGGCTGGCATCGCAGGCAGCAGCTTAACCCACTGCAGCACAATGTGGGCGCGTTTGTCTTGGGAGGACTGAAAAGTGGCTTCGATTTTTATTTGAATTTGAAAGACAGACACCCCCCCAAGTGCCTGCAGGGAGTGGGGCTGGGCCAGGCCGGAGCTGGGAGCTGTGAACTCACTCCAGGTCCCCCCCGTGTAGGAGGCAGGGACCAACTGCTGGAGCCACACCTCTGCCTCCCAGGGTGCATGTCCACAGGAAATGGAATTTGGAAGCAGAGCTGGGACTGGAACCCAGGCCCTCTGGAAGGATGTGGCATCCCAAGCAACACCGAGACCCCTGTGCCAAGTGCCTGCCCCAGCCCCGGTGGTACCACTTGTAAATGACCAGTCACACGCCACACAGCGTTCAGGCAAGCACGGGAGGCACCACGTGGCCTGTTTGCGGTGCCCTGTGAGGCTCACGCAGCAGTGCACCCTGCTCAGCGATGCTACGCATGTGCACCTCCCACCTTAAACCAGAGAGGGTGAGAAGGCCAGCCAGTGACCAGCATGTGGCCAGCACTTAGCGTAAAGCGCTGGGCAGCCGGGCACACATCGGGCCCCCTCTGCTCCGTGTTCCCTGCATGGCCCTGGGCCGGGTCGCTCACAAAAACGCCAAAGCCTTCGCCCAGGTGGAGTTGCACCCCGAATCCCAGCATCCTGCCCTGGCTCACCTGGGATCGCACTTGGGCCAAGGGTACCTGGGAGCCAGCTGGGAGGTCCATTGTGGCACCCACTCCTGGGGGAAGGAAGAGTGGACACTGTTGGGGCAGGCCACATGGTGGCCAGGACCAGCGTCCCACGTGTGAACGCCTGCAGGAGCTGGGCAGGGCGTGGGGGACGCAGGCCACCTGCGCTTGGACTGGGCGGGCTCTGCGGCTCGTGCACAGTCGGCGTTTTCCTAGCACTTTGACAAAACATTTCTCGTCAGTTTCTCTCGGGACGTCCAGGGGAATGGCGGCTTCCAGGCTGGGGCGGGGCGGGCGGCTCCCCACCGAGGCGGCCTCTGGAAGTGGCCCCCTGCCCCCTGCCTCTGCCAGCTGGGAAGCACAGGGCAGGCCAGCAGCCCTGGGTAAAGGAGGTTTATTTGTATGCCGTTTCCCTGAATGTGGTTCCGGCTGTGAACTGCAGGGGGCGCCGCGCGGGCGTGGGGCGGGGCTCACTTCTTGCCCTTGCCCCTGCCCCTGCCCTTGCCCTTGGCCTTCTCCTTGTCCTTCCCTTTGGCCTTGCTGCGCTTCTTCTTCTTGGACCTGAGCATGGAGCGCACCAGGTAGCCCTTCCACACGGCCTGGATGAGCGTGGCCGCCCGCGCCATGCGCACCATCTCCTGCTCGGCCTCCATCCTCTTCTTGGAGTTGATCTCGCGCTCCGTGCGGATCTGCGCGAACTCCTCCACCAGCACGTCGTGCTTGCGCCGCAGCTCCTCCAGCTGGGCCTTCTCCTCCTTGTGGATGACCTCCAGGTCTTCATACTCCTCCTGGGCGAGGTTGGGGTGCGGTCTGCAGGGGCTCCACGCACCCCCCCGCCCTGCCCTGCCGCGCTCGGCTCAGCAGTGCGCAGTCGCCAAGCCGTCTTGCACCGCGGCCCCCCCAGCTTGGGTAGCAATCACTGAGACAGGCGGGATCCTGACTTGGGCTGCCTTGGCGCTAAACCCCAACTCGGCCACATGTCTGGGGACACCATCTCTTGCTCGTGGGAAACCTGGGGATCATTCCAGAGCCGGGGCCCTTGCCAGGGTTAAGTGACCCGAAGGATGCCGCGTGCGGGACACGGTGCCGGCACGCAGGAAATGGGAGCTGGGTCAGTTTCACAGATCGCCAGAGCAGAGGAACCAGCTACGGTTCAGTTCCGGAGTTCCTTGTGTCCAGCCGCGGCCTGCCCTGCTATAACTCACACGTTTTCTCCCAGCGGCCCCTCCCTCCCTCCCTCCCAGCAGTGTTTACCACGCATCTCCCACACGCGGCCCCGTGCAGGGGACACGGGTGGCTAGACTGCGTGCCTGCCCGCAGGGAGCCCAGTCTTGGCCGTGACCACCAACGTCAACCCAGAGCTGAGGGGAGGGCCGAGGGGGCCCCCGTCCGTAGGCTACCCCTCCTGAGCACTTCCTCCTGGCCAAATGCTGGCTGCAAACATGTGTGACCGTGGGGTCACTGAGTCCCCACCACGGCCCCAAGATAGCACGGCCGCTGAGGGCCAGGGGCAGAAACGGGCTCAGAAAGGTGGGGTTCCTTGAGTAAGGCCACACGGCTGGCACCAGACTAGGACCTGCCAACGACACTAGGGACTTTCTTTCCTTCATGCTGTCGCCGGCCACTGGCCCATCTCAGGACATGGAGGTGCCGGGGTGCTGGGAGCTGCCAGGAATGGAGGAATATGGGACGTGGACACTAGAGGGAGCCAACACCACCAGGCAGTGGCTCACTGCAGCCGGCTCCCTCGTGTCTGAACTCCGGTCTCTCTGTTCCTGGCTGGACCAACCGGAGGGCCAGGCAGGGCCTGGAAGGACCTTGCTGCAGGCCTCTCTGGGGAGGCCCAGAACGGGGCCCACACCAGGGCCGGACTAGGACCTCACCCATCCCTGGAGGACCTGGGGCGGGGCTAGGAATGGCAAATACCTGCTTTTCACTCATTTCTGTGTCGTATTTCTGGATCCAGTTCTCGACTTCTGTCTCCACTTTATACTTTTTCTAAAAAAAAAAAAAAAAAAATTCAAGTGATCACTGTTGAATGGATGGCATTACCCGTAACAGCACCGAGCACTCGTGACGCAGCAGGCCCCGTGCTGGGGCTGCCCCTGCCTTGCCCTCGGCTCTGCAAAGGAGGTTTCTTTTCTCCCTTCCAAATGAGCAAACAGAGGCTCCCACATGCTAACTCACTTCTTTTTTTAAATTGATTTACTGAAATGCAGAATTACAAAGAGAGAGGGAGAGATAGAGAGATCTTCCATCCACTGGTTCACTCCCCAAATGTCCACAACCGCTGAGGCTAGGCCAGGCCAAAGCCAGGAGTCAGGAACTCCATCCAGGTCTCCCACATGGGTGGCAGGGGCCCAAGCACTCAAGCCATCTGCTGCTGCTTTCCCCAGTGCAGTAGCAGGCAGCTGGATTGGAAGTGGAGCAGCCAGGACTTGAACCAGTTCCCATAGGAGATGCTGGCATTGCCGGCCATGTCTTAACCCATTATGCCACAAGGCCAGCCCCGCTAACTCACTTCTCAGATAGAGCTAATGGGTGGCAGAGCCTGGGTTTGAAGCCGGTAGTCTGGCTCCAGAATATTTAGGCAGAGGAGACAGCAGGTGGGAAAAACTTGTGTTTAAAGACCAGAAATGGAGCCGAGTGGCTGGAATGGAGTGGCCAGCAGGGGAGTGGTCCCTGTGAGGTCGGAGCGAGGGCTGTGTGGCCGGCCGGGGGATGCCAGTGGAAGGTGGCTGTGGAGTTCTGTGTGAGGGGCAGGGAGCCACTGCAGGGGTTCAGGTATTTGGGGGAGGCGTGGTCTAATCTGGTTTCTAAATGATTGGCTCCTCTGTATACAGTGGACGGTTATGCAGCATGAAGAAGGAAGGGGACTGACGCGCGCGTGAACCCCAAGAGCACGGTGCTTAGGGAGAGAAGCCAGTCACAGAAGGCTGCACAGTGCATGGTTCCAGACAGCATGAGTTCAGAGGGGCTGCCAGCAGGTGGTGGTCGCCAGGGTCTGGGGGAGGTGAGGGAGGAGGCGCTGCCTGATGGGTGTAGAGTTTCACCAGGAGGGGTTGGGTGCACCACACGACACAGCATCCCGAGAGCCACGGAATCGGTCACTTCCAAACGGCTAACCGGGTGCCAAGCGAGCGTCTCCCCCACCTAAACCAAATACCTCAGCCCCTAATCTGACAGAGCAGGAGTTTTCCACTTGGGCACCGTGAGTGGGCTGGCTTCAGAAGGCCTTGGGCCCCTGCACCTGCGTGGGAGACCCAGAGGAAGCTCCTGGCTCCTGGCTTCGGATCAGCACAGCCCCGGCTGCTGTGGCCATTTCGGGATGAACTGGTGGATAGAAGACCTCTCTGTCTTTCCCTCTGTCTGTCTGTAACTCTACCCCTCAAGTAAACAAATTAAAAAAAAAAGGCCTGTGACTCCCCAAAAACTGTCCCCAGAGTATATACGTGCAGCCACGTCTTCTCTCTAGGGCAGAGGCCAAAGGCTCCCATCAGATGCCTCTAGCTGTGACACTAATGAGACTGGGGACAAGTATTAGAAAGGGTATAGGGTGGCCTCTGAAGAAAGAGACGGAAGCTGATTGTGTGCTGGGCCTGCCTGGAGGGTTTTTTTTAAATAGATTTATTTATTTATTTGAAAGGCAGAGTTAGAGAGAGAGAGAGAGGGAGGCCTTCCATCTACTAGTTCACTCCCCAGACAGCTGCAATGGACAGGGCTGTGCCAATCCAAAGCCAGGAGCCAGGAGCTTCCTGCAGGTCTCCCACGCTGGTGCAGGGGCCCAAGCACTCGGGCTGTCCTCCACTGCTTCTCCTGGGCCACTAGCAGGGAGCTGGATCAGAAGTGGAGCAGCCGGGACACGAACCATGGCCTGAGTCTTGGCGCATGTGAAGACGGATGCAGATGAGGAAGTGGTATTTATGGGACGCCTACTGTGTGCGGCTCCCCACCTACTTACTCTGTCAATGAATGCTCTCAGCAGTGGCTGCAAAGGGATTCATCCGTGGGCATGTGGCAAGTAGCTACGCCTCTGCTTGTCGCCCGCATCCCGCACCAGAGCGCCTGTGCGTGAGTCCTGCCTGTGCCGCCTGCTAATGCGCCCGGGGAAGCCGCGGGTGGTCCCCTGCCCCCCCTCCCCGCTGTGGCAGTGACCCAGCACACGGGAGATCGCTCCCTCCCTCTCGCTTCCTGTCACTCTGCCTTCGAATACATTAAGAAAGAAGGAAACCTTCCAGGAAGACTGATTCTGTCACTGTCATTTCGAGCTGTGAACATGGAGGCCAGCAGGGAGCTGCCTCGTTTACCGGAAGGTCACGGCTGCTCCACTGCCGTCACAGGGCCTCTGATGGGTGGGCGCAGGGGTCACAGGGCCTCTGATGGGTGGGCGCCACCCTTTCTGCACGTTCCATGAAGCTGAGGACCATCCCCCTGGCCTGCATGCTGCCCTTCCCCGGCCTGTGTGCTGGCCTCGCTGGCCCCCTCCTCCCCAGCCGCCCCCCGCCCCCGCTCCCCAGGGCACCTTCCTCAGCGCCTGCTCCGCCTCGCGGTTCTCCATGACCAGGTTGTTGAACTGCGTGCGCAGCAGCAGGATGTCCTGCTGGATCTTGGCCAGCCTGGCCTGCGAGGCCCGCGCGTCCGCCTTCTGCTGCTTCTCCGCTTCCTGCTTGGTGCGCGCCAGGTTGTTCTCCGAGAACTTGAGCACCTGGTGCAGGTGGTTTTTCAGTTCTTGGATCACAAAGTTCTCCTTCTCCACCTGGGCAGGGAGAAGCAGGGCTCTGTCCGTCCTGCAGCGTCGCCCGGAGCACCGGAGCACCTGCCTGATGACCTCACCAAGTCCCACCCCAACCCTGCAGCAGCGGACGGGACCAGCCCGAGCGCTGATGGGGCCATGCCACTGAGGCCATGCCACTGGGCTGGGGGTGAAGCCACACGTGTCTGACCCGGAGCCCACGTTCCTGGCCAGCGCCTTCTAGTTCCTTGCACGCGGGAACCACGTGGGTCTGCCAGAGGGAGGCTGCAGGAAAGCTCTGGGACAGCCATGGTCCTCCTGCCCAGGACACTGCAGGGAGGGGCCCTGCTGCAGACACGCGGCACGTGGCACAGTGCAGGAAGGTGTGAGAGAAATGCACGCTGCCGGGATCGCCACTGGGTTGTCCCTTAGGGACCAGGCCCTGGCCTGTGCCCCGTCCTGTGTGGATTATAAAGCAGGAACAGGAGCACAGGCTGGGGCTGGGTTATAATGTGCTCCAAGTGCTGGCGCTGTGGCTTAGCAGGTGCTGCATCCCATATGGCTGCCGGTTCGAGTCCTGGCTGCTCCACTTCCGATCCAGCTCTCTGCTGTGGCCTGGGAAAGCAGTAGAAGATGGCCCAAGTGCTTGGGCCCCTGCACCCATGTGGGAGACCTGGAAGAAGCTCCTGGCTCCTGCCTTTGGACCATCCCAGCTCCAGCCGTTGCAGCCATTTGGGGAGTAAACCAGTGGATGGAATCTCTCTCTCTCTGTCTCTCTGTGTCTCTCTAACTCTGCCTTTCAAATAAAATAAATAAATCTTTTTTTAAAAAATTTGTGCTCCAAAGCCTTCTCAGGAACTCTGGTCTCCCTCTGACCCCAGTGGCACTGGGTTCCTGTCCTGCCGGCAGCCTTGGGCTGGGCCAGCTCACGGCAGGGCCCACGGGGTCACAGGATGGGAGCTCCCTGGGCACACACGACGGGCAGGGGAGGGGCCTATCTCGTAGGGTTGGGGTCTTCCAGCAGGCAACCGTATTGTTAGCAGGAGAGCGCCTCTTGCAGAGCCCCCGCCATGCGCCTGACCGTGGTCACCTGTGTTTACACTGAGACATGTCCATCTGGGAAAAGTGGAGTGTGACCCTGGGTCAGTGCCACTTGGAGGCCCACGCTGTTCCACCACCAAATGGGACCAGCAAAGCCACCAGCAGCCCTTTCCCTGCCCCTAGATGGCAACCCCTCCGACCAGGTCCGGAGGCTGGCCTCGCTGTGCTCTGCAAACACGCCACAGCCCTCTTTGGTGCCAGGCTTACTGGGGACACAGTGGCAGGAATACGGAGACAAGGTCCCTGTCTGTCTGTCGGGGAGCCAAACCCAGTCAAGTAATCGCACAAGTGTGATCAGCGGATCCTGATGAATGCCTTAAAGCAGAGTCCGTGAGCGGTGCCTGACCTGCTGCACACCGAGGCGGCCTTGGCGCTCTCCTCTCATGGTGGATGCAATGGAAGCGTCTGTGGCAGTGCTGGCTGGATCTGCCCTCCCTGGGGAGGCCATAGACCAGAACCCTTTGCTGGGAATGTGGTCCCTGCCTCTCTACTGGCAGTGAACTGAGGACTGTGCGCGGAAATACTGGATGCAACTTCTGGGGGCAGGACCCAGCCCTCTCCTCCTCTTTCCCCTCCCCCTGGCTCAGCCAGCAAGGATACTACAGGGAGCGGGAGAGCAGCCATCTCAGCCCACAGCATGGAGTCTCACACGGTGTGTCGGGGAGCAGAGAAGCCAGGCATGGAAGCAGCCCAGAGCCCCAGCAAATCCGCAGAGCAATCACTAGAGAGAAAGCTACGCCCCTTTGGACTGGGCAGTCCCTGTTTCGGGCACCCCTGTGACAGCAGCCCAATCCTTCCTCACTGCCACCTTGCTGGGGTTCTATAAAGACTGAAAGAGAACACGTAGGGATGGTGTGATAGTGTGTGACCGCAAATGGTGGTGATTTTGGGGCTTGGGGCCATGCCTTCGTGTGTCTTCTTAAAAATTCTTCTATGGCTTCACCTTGCTCTCAGGACCCAGACTAACTCCTTGGTTCAGCCTCGGGAGCCCTGAGGATCTGTCTCCCTCTTGCCAGCCACCTCCATTCCTGCCTTCCGGCTCCCCGGCCCTCGAGGTTTGCGATCCAGCCACGGTGTTCCCTTCTCGGGCACACAGGCTCCCTAGAACCTGGAACAGGGGCCAGGGCCAGCCCCAGGCAGCCTCTACATGTGAGCATTGCTTGTGGCTGCTTTCTTGCCATCACAGCAGGGCAGAGCTGAGTGGCTGTGACCGACGCTGTGTGAAGCCTGCCGCCCCTGGCCTGGGAGCTCTGCCCCACCTCACTTACCTGGCCCTCTCCTCTCCTTCTTGTCCTGATTTCCATGTTCCCCGCCCTTGTTGTCTCCGTTCAGTTCTCTCGTGACACTCCCTTATAGCACCCTGTACTTACCCTTCACTGTACTTCTCAAAACTGTAATTAAATGAGTCCTTTCAGTACCTGTCTTCTCGGCTGTGAACTCCACAAGGCTGCAACTCTATGGGCTTAATTAAAAGACACGCCACGAGTATGTGCCCAAAACAATCTTTGTGGAGCAAACGAATGGGAAAAAGCCGTTTAAATCACGGAGGGAAAACCCAGCTGTGGAAAGATCGGGGCCACCGGGCGTGGCTCCCTCTGTGCCACGCCCGGTTCTGGGGACAATACCTCTGCCTTCCTCCTCTTCATCCCCACTGCCAGCTCGTTTTCTAGAATATCGATCATCTCCTGGTTCCTCCTGTTTCGCCGGCTGACGTCCTGTATGAACTGGGCTTTCTCCCTGGCTTCCATGGGGCTAGTGAGCAACTTCTCAAACAGGAAGCCGCGCAGTTCGATGAGGCTGTCGATGAAGCTCTGGGCCTCTGCGCTTCTGCCCTGCGTCTGCATCTGCAGGAAGCTGGAGGCCTGGGGGCTGCCGAGCAGCAGCCTCAGGCTGTCCTTGGTCGAGTCTCGGACCTGCTGCATCAGCGGCAGGAGGCTGGCCTTCTGCAGCCTCAGGGAGAAGCGGCGGTCCCGGACCCACCCCTCCTCCTCGGTCTCTTCCTCCTCCTGCAGCTGCCTCTCCCGCTCCTGCAGGCGATGGGTGGTCTCCAGCAAGAGCTCGCAGAGGTCCTCGTGCTGTCGTATTGCTGTCATGATGCCCTCGCCCAGCATCCCCTCCATGGCCTCCGGGTTGGACGCCACGTACGACAGCAGGGTCACCAGCTCCACCTTGTAGATGGTCTCATCCAGGACGGACATGATCCTCTTGGCCTCGATGGTCGTGAGTTTGGACTTGGAGGGGACCAGGGGTTTGGGCGGGTTGGCTGGCTTTGGGGCTGGCTGTGACCTTAGTGGTATTCTGTTGATGTCAGGGCCATGGTAGAGAGGCTCCACGGTGAGGACCTCTGAAGCCATTTCTGCGAGTGGCCGTCTTTGTCCTCAGCGATGGAGACTGCAGGCTCCTGCTGTCCCAGGCGACCCTGCAAAGGAGGGAGTGGGTGTCACAGCTGCACTGACATCTGTGGCCAGGGTGGCTGCTGCAGCCACAGCTGCTGGCAGTGGGAGCTCATCTTGGTGCTCTGCCCCTGGTGCACAGAGCCTTGGACCACACCAGTTTCCAGCTCTGTGACAGTGTCAGGAGGGCCACTCTAAGGATTTCGATACACCGTTCACTCTGGTCGCAGGAGAGTTGAGAGGTCAGCTCGGGGGGAAGTGGAGCTGTGAGGACGAGTGGTAAGCCTGGTGGCCAGAGTCACCCCAGGCAAGGTCAAACCATCAACACCCAGGGGAGTTAGAACCACTGCTGGAAACGCAGCCCAAAGCAGGGGGCGGAGAAGAAACTGGTTTCTCCCTTCCGCCCACCCTCCAGACTAATACCCGTGCCTGTTGGCTAGTGGGAGACCGACAGGCCAGGGCAGCCTGCAGGGGTCAGCAGCCCAAGACACAGAGCAGGCTGCAGAGAGAGCGTGTGGAGGACCCAGACCAGCAAGGTCACTCTTAAAAACCAGGGAGGTGGGGGTGAACAATGACTTCAAAACGCAGTTGTAAAAAAAGTGGCTTCGTCAATGCAGTGTCATTTCCTGGGTGTGCCCACCCCCAGGAAGATTTTGAAGAATCAAGAGGACGTGGTGGGTGGAAGACGTGCTTGACTTCAGGCGACTGGAAGAGATCTTGGAAGACAAGAGAACATTAGTAGAAAGTCTGTAGTTGACAGAACAGTGCCAATGTTAATTTCAGCTCTGACAAATTGTGGTTATTTACATTGTTAACATTAGCGGGAGCTGAATGAAAGTCATACGGGAATTCTCTATGCTATCTTTGCAACTTTTCTAGAAACTTACATTTCTTACAAAACAAAACCTGTTTCAGGGTGGGCACTTGCCATTAAGACGCTGGCTGGGACGTGTGCACGCCATGTGGGAGCATCTGGGTTTGATTTCCAGCTCAGTTTTTTTTTTTTGAATATTTTTGACAGGCAGAGTGGACAGTGAGAGAGAGAGAGAGAGAGAGAGAGAGACAGAGAGAAAGGTCTTCCTTTGCCGTTGGTTCACTCTCCAATGGCCGCCACGGTTGGTGCACTCAGGCCGGCGCACCGCGCTGATCCGATGGGAGGAGCCAGGTGCTTTTCCTGGTCTCCCATGGGGTGCAGGGCCCAAGCACTTGGGCCATCCTCCACTGCCTTCCCGGGCCACAGCAGAGAGCTGGCCTGGAAGAGGGGCAACCGGGACAGAATCCAGCGCCCCGACCGGGACTAGAACCTGGTGTGCCAGCGCACAGGCAGAGGATTAGCCTATTGAGCCACAGCACCAGCCAAGCTCAGTTTCTAATTTCTGCTTCCTGCTAATGCAGACCCGGAGAGGCAGCAGATGACAGCCCAAGGACTTGTGTTCCTGCCACCCATGTGGGAGACCCAGATGGAGTCCAGGCTCTCCTGGTTTTGGCCTGGCTGTTGTGGGCATGTGGGGAGTGAACCAGCAGATGGAAGGCCGATCCCTCTCTCTCTCTTTCTCTCCATCTCCATCTCCATCTCTCCACCCGACAGCTAGGACTCCCTTGGCTGTGGTCCTGAGGCCCACCTGGCAGCTTTGCCTTTACCGTCTACTTAGCCAGCATCAGTTTCCATTACTTGCAACCAAGGAACCCGAGCTGACAATGCATCACAGCCATCTGACAACCCACGAGCAGAGGGCCTCCGGGGAGAGGCGGTGATGGAGACACCATCAGAGAGATGGAGAAAGCAGGGAGAGCTGAAGCTGGGGAAGCTACATTCACCAAACGAGAGTAAGAGAGGGAGCCCAAAGCACGGGAAACGACGGAAAACAAACCGGAAAGGCTGGCCAGGTCAGCCGCGAAGGGTGCCCAGTCCCTGATGGGGCAAATGGACCCCAACTCGGAAGCCTCGTGGGCAGCTGAGACTGAGGATGGAGGCCATCATTTCACACCTCCCTGCCCGCTCCCCAGTCAGGCTCCTGACTTCCTCCAAGGTCTTCGCTGAAAATAGTTCCAGGGCCAGCTGCGGAGCCGCCTTGGCCCCTCTGAGGATGAAAGATCCTTGCCCCCTGGCCGTGCAAGGATGTGAACAAAGTATTTAATGAACGCCCCTCTCCCCAGCGTCCCCCAGAGCTCGCAGGCATAAATCAAAATGCCCGAATACTGCAGAGGCTGCGGCTGGAAATGCAACGCCGTAGGAAATACTTCCAATTTGCTTTCAGCCAAATTACCTCTTTTGCTTTAAAGGGCAAACTTGTTTTCTTAGATTATGACGACGCCCGTCAGCTCTTGACAGCTCATTTGGGTGAACAAGAAAAAGCCCGTGGAACGAGGGTGGGGAGGGGGGAATATGCCTGACTCTGATGGCCAAAATCACGGGAGAATCTTCTCCTCGAATTCTAATATGATCACTTCATGTCCCTTTTAATGCCACCAGCCTTAATATTTAAATCATTTCCAACTCAAGCCTCTCCTTTTACAATTCCTGCCCTGAGAGTGAAGTGGGATTGTTAATGGATGGGGAACTTTAATTAGATCTTCCCCTTATTTGTCATTAATTTTGCTGATGAACTTTATAAATGGAAATATATCTTTATCATGCAAATTACACCTTGTCTTCATTCAAATAGGCTTGCTCGATATTTTATTACTTTCCACTCTCAGAACATTTTAAAAAAAGGTTTGAGCTAAATTATATGTATTTTTTCCCTTGGAGAGAAAAAGAAGAAAATCCAACACAAAGACTGTACAAATTCAACCCTGGGTGCGGGGAAGTCAGATAAACAAGTGTGGGGTATGGATCTCATTTTAAGGAACGCCATTGAGATTCTTTGTATTAATCGTTTGAGAGACAGAGAAAGAGCTCCCCGTCACTGGTTCTCTCCCCAAATGCCAATGTCAGCCCAGTCTGGGCCGGGCTGAAGCCAGGAGCCAGGAACTCAGTCTAGGTCCTCCACGTGGGCGGTGGGAGCCCGGTTACTTGAGCCATCACTGCTGCCTTCCGGGATCTGTGTTAGCAGGAAACTGGAGTCAGGGGCGAGAGCTGGGAACCGAACCCATTCCCAGCCAGTGCCATCTCAGGCTTAGCTGAGTCCTGGGGAGGTGTGTTCTCAGTGCTTCCTAGGGACGCATCCCTTTACCCTCACAGCCCCAAGGGAAGGTGCTGTTATTACCTCCAGTTTGCAGAAGAGGAGAGGCAGGAAGGGGGGGCGGGGAGAGAGAGAGAGGGAGAGAGAGAGAGAGAGAGGGAGAGATCAGATGATTCTAGTTTACAGCCAATAAACGACAGCTCTGGGATCCCAGCCCCAGCAGTCTCAGGAGCTGCACCCAGAACCCTCACTCTACCCAGTCTCAGAAGTCAGTCAGAGGGAGAGATCAGATGATTCTAGTTTACAGCCAATAAACGACAGCTCTGGGATCCCAGCCCCAGCAGTCTCAGGAGCTGCACCCAGAACCCTCACTCTACCCAGTCTCAGAAAGTCAGTCAGAAGACTGACTTTCATGGTGAACATAAAATGAATTTTTGTTTGTCTGGTTTCAATAAATCCCATCAAGTAGAGACCTGGGGAAGAGACTTGTTCAAGACTCAGTGCCTATAGCATTCAATCTACTTGACAACTACAAAGGTGACTATGAGTTCACGTCTGTTATAGGTGTATGCACACATTCGCGAGTGCATACGTAGATGTGTAGCAACGACAACTATGTGTCCTCGTATGGATGTCACAGCTGCGTATGCTATATACACACCCCCACCTGTGCATATGCATACAGCAGGGCCTCTGGCAATGCTGGGAGGGAACCAGGAGCTCGGGAATATTGCTGGCACCATGATGGGGCAAGGCTTGCCGCCAGCCTTGGTGGCTCAGAGCAGCGGAGGCTCAGGGGCAAGAGAAAGCCTGCCAGAATCTGCGGAGGCTCTAAGGTAGTGCAGCAACTGGGCACCGCCCTGGTTTAACACTGGTGGGAAGACGGGACAAGGAGACCTTTAAAAATAATACCAACGGATCAGAAAGCTCTTAGAGGAAATTGCAGGGGTAATTCTTCATGATCTTCGAGCATGGAAATGGGATTCTTAGATATGACTCCAAAAGTATGAGCAATAAAAGAAAAAAATAAGCTGGACTTCAAAATTGAAAACTTTTCTGCATTAAAGGACATTATTGAGAAAGCAAAACGATGGGGCCAGCACTGGTGCAGTGGGTTAAGCCATCACATGGCACACAGGCATCCCATGTTGGAGCACTGGTTCAAGTCCCAGCTACTCTGCTTCTGATCCAGCTTCCTGCTAATGCTCCTGGGAAGGCAGCAGAAGATGGCTCAAGTATTTGGACCCTCGCCACCTATGTGGGAGATTAGGATTGTGTTCCTGGATCTTGGCTTGTTCCTGGTTCCTGGCTTGAGCCTGGCCCACACCTGCAGCCATTTGTGGAGCCAACCAAAGGGTAAAAGATCTCTCTCATTTGTGCACATGTGCGCACGCGCTCTCTTTTCTCTCTTTCTCTCTCTACGTCACTTAACTTTTCAAATAAAATACATAAATAAAACCTTAAAAAAGCACAGAGAACCTATGGAATAGCAGAAAATATTTGTACATCAAGTATTTTTTTTCCTCTCAAATATATGATAAGGTCATGATACCCAAGATATGTAAAGAACTCCTAAAATTAAACAACAAACAACTCAATTAAAGAGCAAACAAAAAACGTGAATAGGCATAGATCTAAAGAATATATACAACTAGCCAATAGGCACATGAAAAGATGCTCAGCACCAAGAGTCACTAGGGGAATGCAAGATCAGAACCACAGGGAGATACCCCTTAATAAGATACCACTCAGTGGCTGTAAGTTTAAAAAAAGGAAATAAGTACTGATGAAGACCTGTGAAACTCCCTCATATATTACTGGTGGAAGGTAAATGGGTACAGTTGCTAGGGAGAACAGTTTGGTGGTCCCTCAAAAAACTATGCATACAATTAGCATAAGAC